CGGCGCGCCGTGGCACTCAAAGGCTGCGCGCAGAGCGCGCTCGAAAACGCGATCGGCCAGAGCATGTTTTTCACACGCGAACGATCACCCTCAGTTGCCGAGCCCGCGAGGGAACGTTTCATTCTAACTTTGTCGGAATGTGAAAAACTTCGTACATCATAAATTGTTCGGTCTCGTTTTGTGTCTTGGTACAGTAAAGAAAAGCTTTGCAACTTTTGTGGGGAGGTCTCTTTTCGTGTTTTGTCGCAACGGACGCAGGACGGTTTAGGGCTTTCGGCTGTCGTGTCTTGATAAGTATACCAAAAAGTTGCAATGCATGTATGGCGGTTTTGCATTCGTGTCTTGGTAAAAACGAAAACGTCGTACCACTATGTGGGGAGGGCTCGTTTTCTCATCTTGGAATGTATGAAAACACCGTAACTTACGCAGGGAGGTTCATTTTGATGCACGAAACGTCATTTTACGCGTGTCCTGGTAAGATGTAATTTTACAACGGGAGGTTCAGGCTTTGCAATGTACGAAATCGCAGTTTACGTGGGCAGGTTTACGTCGGGGGGTTTCGATTTCCTGTCTTGGATTACGAAGTTGTAGCGGTTCATTACATGAGGAGGTTTCGTTTTCCAGCCTTGGTAGGTACAAAAGCAAAGTAACTTGTATGGACAGGTTTCCTTTCCTCGGATGTTGGAATGAACGGGAAAGTCGCAATTTACACGGGGAGGTTTCGTTTCGTGCTTTGAAACCTACGAAAACATCGCGAGGTGTAGTTTCGATGTCATGTCTTGGTAAACGAAAACTTCGCTATTTGCGTGGGGAGGTTTCGTTTTCAAGTCTGGACTGTACGAAAAAACGTCGCGATACGTTGCAACTGTTGGGGCCGCAGTTTCGCCATCCGAGGTCTTGGGTTCTGCGAGAGGCCCTACCAAAAGCCTGCACTGGAGGCCCCAAGCGCTGCCCTGGCGGTGTCCTTGTCGAGGCCTGAGTCCAAGTCAGCTGCGCCTGGGTTCATGGTTTCTGGCCACCATGGCCACAAGGGCTTTGCGGCCCCATCACCCCATCAAAGCCTAAATTGCAAAGCCCCTAAACCCCAAGCCCTACACCCCGGAACCGCTGGCTTGGAGCTTGTGGATGTGAGGCACATTCAGCACACATGCAATCCACTGATCGTCACGTCATACGTGAACTTGGTGCTCGCAGCTTTCGGAAACCCCTCGGTCCCTAACCATACACCCTAAACCTTAAACCCAAAACTCCAAACTGGCCCCCCTAAACCCTAAACCCTAAACCCTAAACCACTCCTCCTCAGGCCCTCACTCAGCAGCTTGGGCTGTGGGAACTCGCCGCCCTGGTTCCGGGCACATTCCAGCCGTATGGCTTGCTTCAGGAGGCAATACCTGGCAACGCTTGGTGGGGTTTTTTAGGCTTCAAGGTTTAGGGATTAGGGTTTAGGGATTGGGGATTCGGGATTAGGGATTCCACTTTAAGGTTTGGGGGTGGGCATCGGATGCACTGGAGACGGCAGCAATGGGCTTCACACTCGAACCTTAAGACCTACCCCTGTAGGAGGTTAGAGTTCATCTTTAGTACTTCGGCCCATCAGCCTTAAGCCCGCGGAATCCCCATCCCCGAACATCTTTGAACCGCCAAGCAGGGAAGCCTGCGCCACAGCTCGGGGCTCTGGTTCCTGCACGCTCTGGGAGCTTAGGGTTCAGGGTTTAGGGTTTAGGGTTTTGGGTTTAGGGTTTAGGGTTTAGGGTTTTAGGGTTTAGGGTTAGTGGTGTAGGGTTTAGGGTTTAGGGCTTAGGGTTTCGGGTTTAGGGTTTAGGGTTTAGGGTTTAGGGTTTAGGGTTTAGGGTTTAGGGTTTAGGGTTTAGGGTTTAGGGTTTAGGGTTTAGGGTTTAGGGTTTAGGGTTTCGGGTTTAGGGTTTAAGTTTAGGGTTTAGGGTTTAGGGTGTATAGAAGGGAAGCTCGCTGGTGCTAAAAGCACCCGGGCCGCTCGCTTGCGTTAGCATGTAGTCCCACCCCAACCACCCAAACTATTCTCATTTAGGGTTTAGGGTTCACCCCCCAAACCCCCCCCAAGGGGGGCTTTCTTGCTTTTGACAGAGAAAGAGCAGGGTGGGGCCTCCCGAGCTTTGTGGAGCCTGTCATGTCAGCGGCTCGTAGGCTTCTTGGAGCTTTCACGGAACTGGAGGGGTGCCCAAAACCGTCAAATGTTCAGTGCGGGTCTTGGCAAACCCCGACCCACGCAGCCCAAAACGCTAGGGGGAAGCTGGTGCCTTGGCCTTGCCGGCCCCTGCTTACGCGTCCCAGGGAGGTCCAGGTCCAGGGAGGTCCCACCAGATCCCTACCGAAATCAAGACCCAGGCTGAGGGGGGTCCAGAAAGGTGGTTGCAGGGGGGTCTCAAGAAGTTTTTCCCAGGCGGTCCGGCAAACCCCGGCCTTAGGGGGAAGCAGGGGGGTCCCAGGGGGGTCCCAGGGGGGTCCCAGGGGGGTCCCAGGGAGGTCCCAGGGGCGGTCCCAGGGCCCAGGTTGCAGGCTTTCTGTGCCAAAAAAAGCATTTTTTTGCAGGTTGCCCCCTACCAGCCCAGAAGGAGGGGGGGTCCCTGGAATCTGCCAGGGCCCCAGACCCCCCGGGGGGTACCCCCCCGACCCCCCTAAAAAAGCCAAAACGCCCTCAACGGTGCAGGGTTTGGGGTCCTAATCATATTAGGGCTTGCGCCCTAGGTCTGAGGCGTAGCCAGGCACTGCAGGCCTCGTCTACCGGGAGGCTTTACCCTCCCTCACCGTTCTGTAGAGACGCTCGGTCGGGGACCTCGGTCGAAGCCTCGAGCGCCCATGTAAATGGACAGCGGCACTCTCGGCAGTTTAGGGTTTAGGGTTTAGGGTTTAGGGTTTAGGGTTTAGGGTTTAGGGTTTAGGGTTTGGGGTTTAGGGTTTAGGGTTTAGGGTTTAGGGTTTAGGGTTCAGCATCTCTGGTCCAAGCATTCACTAGTTGAGCAGCTTTCAAGGCCACAGGGGAATACCCACCCGCCCATTGGGTCCCACACCATTAGGAAAAATATCCAACCTCCTTCTTCTCTAGGCACGTGGTCAACAGAATGGATTTGTTAACCACATGTTTCTGTTTCAAGCGGACAAGAAAACCAAACGTAGTCAACAGAATGGATTTGTCAACCACATGTTTCTGTTTCAAGCGGACAAGAAAACCAACGTGGTCAACAGAATGGATTTGTTAACCACATGTTTCCATTCGGGAACTTAATCTTTGGAAGCCATCTTGAGTTCTTGAGTCGTTTGAGGGGCTTCAGGGGCCTCAAAAACAGGCGCGGTCATTCGGAAACTTATTCTTTGGAAGCCATCTTGAATCGCTTGACTCTTTTGAGGGGCTCCAGGGGGGTGAGGGGGGGGCGGGTGGGGGGGGGGGTGGGGGGGGGGGGTGGGGGTGGTGGGGGTTGGGGGTGGGGGGGGGTGTGGTGGGGGGTGGTGGTGGTGTGTGGGGGGGTGGGTGGGGTGGGGGGGGGGTGGGGGTGGGGGTGGTGGGGGGGGGGTGGGGGGGGGGGGGCGACCTTGCCCACTAAATATATGACCTTGCCCGCTAAATATATGACCTTGCCCGCTAATATATTAAATATATGACCTTGCCCGCTAAATATATGACCTTGCCCGCTAAATATATGACCTTGCCCGCTAAATATAGGACCTTGCCCGCTAAATATAGGACCTTGCCCGCTAAATATAGGACCTTAACTAAATATATGACCTTGCCCGCTAAATATATGACCTTGCCCGCTAAATATATGACCTTGCCCGCTAAATATATTACCTGGCCCGGGCCATATATTTAGCGGGCAAGGTCATATATTTAGCGGGCAAGGTCATATATTTAGCGGGCAAGGTCATATATTTAGTGGGCAAGGTCGCCCTTCAGCGGGCAAGGTCATATATTTAGTGGGCAAGGTCAATTTTTAGCCAATGGACCTTGCCCACTAAAAATATGACCTTGCCCGCTAAATATATGACCTTGCCCGCTAAATATATGACCTTGCCCGCTAAATATATGACCTTGCCCGCTAAATATATGACCTTGCCCGCAAAGTCATTAACATTTATATTATATATGAAAGAGTGGTTTAGGGTTTAGGGTTTAGGGTTTAGGGTTTAGGGTTTAGGGTTTAGGGTTTAGGATTTGGGGTTTAGGGTTTAGGGTTTAGGGTTTAGGGTTTAGGGTTTAGGGTTTAGGGTTTAGGGTTTAGGGTTTAGGGTTTAGGGTTTAGGGTTTAGGGTTTAGGGTTTAGGGTTTAGGGTTTAGGGGCTTACGTAGGGTTGAACGCCTGCTCTGGACCCTGAGCCCTTTCAAGGCTTAAGTTTTTGCAGGACTTAGGGTGCTTTGCCAGCAGGATGCCAAGCAAGAGAAGCAAGAGGATTTGCCGGTGCTGTTGCTCTTCTCAAACATCGCTCGCTTCTCTCTGGTTTGATGTCCAATTCCTGTTCATACGGAACGCCTCTGTATAGCTGCCTACACAGGTGGGCTTGCTAGCTCCCTGCACTCCTCTTGTCGTTTCAGGTCGTGCCTGGCACATGCTCATAGCAAGCCTTGTCGTGCTTACAATAGCTGCAGAGCGCATAGATCTGCGGGACTGTATTCGAAAGATGGAGCCCTGAACACTCAGGGACATTTCAAAAAAGGGCCATTGCAGCGACGAAGATTCTCAGTGGCAACGTTTGGCTCGCCATCAACTTGAATTCGCTCACTCTCTGACTCTCGGTCATCTTGAAAACCCCTTATACAAGCAAAGTCTTTGCAAGTGGGGGTGGGGAGGGGGGCTGCCAACCCCAAGTTCATAGGGGGTTTGCTAGCCCTACTGCGGGTGCAGGGTAAGGCTGGGCCCTGTTCTGGCTAAAGGCTTCAGGACGTTGGTGGCTTGGGGTCCGCGGCTGGGGCCCTCTAAGCCCTTAGTCCAAAATGGTTTCGTGGTTTCAGGTTCCGACCGCAAGCTTGCTCAGCTCCTGTAGGCCGCCTGCAGGGTGAAGCCGCTTGGCACCTGGCGGCAGAAGGCTTCGGATGCGCCATGGCGTGCTGCGTGTAAGTCCACTGCTAACTTCACTGCGCTTGGAAGTGGAAGCTCGTTAACGAAAGCAAGACAAAGTCCGACTCTCCAGGGCCCAGGGGGCCCGAACAGCCTTGAGCCCTCCCCAGCACTACCCTGGCAAGACCCACAGCCTCAAAGCCCTGGTCAAGGATTGGCGTTTTTGGTTTGAGGGTGCGGGAATTGGGTGGGTCTGACGTCTCGGCTCCAGCCGCCTGCAAACCTGTTTTGCTTTTTTGCCTTCCTACTGTGGACCCTGAAGCCTCCCAAAGCCCCCAAACCTCCCAAGCGAAGCCCACGTCCCCTTCTCAAGGACATCGAGGGGGGGGCCGGGTTCCGATTCTTCGCAGCGCAGGCCCACGAGCAGCCGTTCACCCCGTGGAGCCTCTTCAGTTTGGACTGCAGGGGGGCTTTTGGTTTAGGGTTTAGGGTGCTTAAGGCATTCCGGGGTTTACGCCGTGCAAAACATGCAACGCATGCGAAACGCACGTAGAAGGGCACTACACGGGTAGTTCTCTACATGATCGTCCCTTTTCGAGTACCACAAGTAAGAGCTCTGTCCAATGCAACTGAAAACGAAATAGCATGATCCCAAGGCCCCGACACGCCCAAGGTTTCGGTCAGTCATAGTCGGTGTCTACAGTAGCTTCTGAGACGGCAATTCTTTCTAGATAATGCCCCCAACCGCCCAGCATTGACGTGCTTGCCCTCAAACCCCCAAACGCCCAAAAGCGCCTTAAAAACCCCGCTCAAAAATAGCCTTAAAGGTTTAAAGCCCCTTGAGAGCCCCTACAACCCTCAACCCTGAACCTCCTGAACCTCCTCAACCCTCACCTTGCCAAGTCCGCCCCCTTTGGCAGGGGGGAAGCCAGTGAAGGCTCAATCTGATGTTCATGTTCAGAGTGCTGGGAGCTCAGGGTTCAGGGATGTAGTTGAGTCCGGGTGCTTTCCCTAACACCCTCAACTCCAAACTCTTTCCCAGCGCATGGCCTGCAGCCCCTGTCTCGCGTCCTGGGTCAGGGCTTTTGGTACGCTGCTCTGCGGGTGTGCAGGGGGCTTCGTGTTTCCGTTTGGGATGTGTGTGTGGGGACTAGGAGTGCAGCAGATGCAGGGTCAGAGCTGTCAGCATAGAGCCTTTCGGTGTAGAACACTAAAGAGCTTGCACAGGCTTGCATTGGCCCCCATGAGCCCTGGTCCCAAAACCCTCAACGAAAAACCCGGGCATCCGCTGGAACTTCAGCCTTGAACCTTCAACGCCTTCAACCCTCGCACGTCAGGTATGTCCGGAGGGTTTTTTGAGGGGTTCAAGACTCACTTTCATGTGTAGTGGTTTAGGATGGCCCTCATTTGAAAGGTCTTGTGAGGTTCGGATGAGTTGGCAGCTCAAAACAAGAGCCCTCTGAGAAGGATCCTGTTGACTGGAACCTGGGCTCTTAAGCCCGCACCCTCAAAACCCTACAGCTTTTGGTATCACTGGTGGAGCGGGGTCCAGACTCACGCAACTTTACAGACCAGAAGACCTGTCCAACCCTTTCGACAGATTTGGAGGGCTTCGGGGGGTGCTCCGGAAAGCTTCGAATCGGGCTGAGGGCTTAAGGACCCCCTAAGCAGTAGGCACTGGGGCACCAGCCAATTGTCGTGGCTCTTGTGGCTGTCGTTCATCAGGTCCTGGAGCTTCCGCAGTAGGTCCTCACAAGGACAGGGCCTGAACGGCTGTGTTCAGGGTCTAGATGCGCCTCAAATCACCCGGTGCCATTACCCGGCGCAAACATCCAGTGCCGAAGGCCCAGAGCTCTGAATCCCCAAGCAAATCAAGCGCTGCAGCTGCCCAAACCCCGGAAAAGGGTTGAGCCCCGAAAGCGCAGCTACTCTCTTCCCCAGCCTGGTCTGTAACCGCCACAAGGCCCTCCTCTCCAGGCATCCAGATGCCCCTCTGTGGCGAGGGTGCCCGGAGGTGCGAGTCGATATTGGCGTAGGTGTCCTCGTGTTTTCGGCTCTGGGGCGCTCCATCTGGTGTCGAAGAACCCCAACTTTAGCCTCAACCCCAGACGCGTCTGTGTCTTTAGGCCCCCGATTCTCTTCTAGCTTCGAACATAGGGGCGCAAGGTGCAAGTGGCTTTGTGGGTTTTTAAGGGTTTGGGGGGGACGGGGAGGGGGGATTCGCCGTCTCGGGGCTCTAGAGGCAGGGCTTCAGGGCCCAGTTCGGGGTAATTTATAGTGTTAGGGCTACAGGGCTGAGAGTTTTGGGATGTGCGTGCGGAGATGTGGAGGTTTGGAGCCTGGTGCTTGGCCGGATTTTTGCATCACAGTGATGTCACATCGGTCAAAGCTCTGCTTTAGGGTGAAGCGCTCGAAGTTTGAGTTTTTGGACTGAAAACCGAAGCAGCCCGTGTCCTCGGCAAAGTCTGATCGATGCATGCTCAGCTTGTGGCCACCTCATGTCTCATCTGTCCATTTGAGCGACCGGGGCCGGGAATCCCTTCTCACTGGTAGATGCTGGCACGTGCTGATCTGTTAGGATGTACAACATAGCAGCACGCTTCCTATACCAGTAACAGCTCTCTTTACTCATTTCTTTCTTGTGTACTCCTCGACTCTTTTGAGGGGTGGGCAGGTCTGGCATGTGAGAAGAAGGCATCCAGGCCGGGTGGCTCGCACCAAGCGAAACTCGAAAAAATGCCTCAACATAAACTGCAATCTTCAAAAAGCGATGAATGGCGTATCATTCGATTCTGCACACTTCAAACTTCAAAAACTTCAAAGACTCCTAACCCCCCCCCCCCCCCCAAAAAAAAAAAAAACATGCACACGCAAATTGCCAGACCCAGAAGATTTCCCCCTTTTCCTCTGAGAGCGCCGCACTGGCAAAGGACGCCTCGGGCCAAGCACTTGGGGCTTAGACCAGGCTCTCGGATGGCTCTGCGAAGATAAAGAGAGGCTTTTGTTCTTAGAGGACCTTAGGATATTTCGAAGGCGTTGGCCTCTTTTCGAGGTAACGGCGTCAGCATTCCTATGTCCTGAACCCCCAGAGCCCGAAGGGTGACCCAACCCAAACGACCCTGCGACCTCGGATCCAAGTCTAAACACTGAGCCCGAATCCCTCAACCCTTAAACAGACCCTAAACCCCAAAAGCCCTCCTCAATCCCTCCCTAAGTCCCTAAACCCTGAACCCTAACTCTAAACCCTAAACCCTAAACTCTAAACCCTAAACCCGAATCCCTCCCTAACCCCTCCCCCATGTAAACCTCACTAGATCGCGGCCGCGCCTCCGCCCGCACGCTCGGCCTGGAAGCAGGGGCAGCTGCATGTGTACTCCTGGCTTTAGGGTTTGGGGTTTCTCGGGTTTTGGGATTTTGGGGCTAGGTTGCGGGGAGGGGGAGGGGGGGGGTGTCGAACTTTGGACCAGTGCTTGAAGGCCGAGGCTTTTTTGCTCGGGGGCTGAGGGTCTCTTTAGGTTTCAGACCCGTACCTTACCAAAACCTTTAAACTCCACAACGCTGAACGCATATCTCAGATGTGGTGCACCGTCTTGGCAATGTTTGGGGGAGGGCCAGAGGTGGGGAGACTGCTAAAATGAGAAGCCATGGGAACCCATGAGGTCCTTCAGCCGAGATTGGGGCTGATTTTGATTGGAAATCTGCACACCGAAAGCTGTGGAAAACCTTCGGGGCCACTCCGCGAAGCAGGACCCCTAACCCTAAGCCCTAAAACCCTAAACCCCTAAACCCCTAAACCCCAAACCCTAAACCCGTCCTCTTGCCCAAAGTCGCCATTGTTCTTCAGGCGAACTCGGAACCTAGACAGGCCCCCCAGAACTCGGGGGCCTTACACCTCAACACCCAGGCCTGAACCCGAAACCCGTGCAAATGACACCCAGCTTGAACCTCGCACATGCCGAAGCCTAGGATGCCATGGCTCAAAACGCCGGGTTGTCGTGGGGGGGCCCAACCCCCAAACCCTGGTCGCGCCAGCTTTGTTGCGCAAAACCCTTGTCGCGCCAGCTTGCTGGACGTGAAAACCTTGTCGACAAAATCGGTTCTTGTCACAAACCCTTCGTCGCGCCGTCAGCGCCCGGGGCCTGCTACAGTACAAGCCCTGATGTTTTGAGTCGCTGCCACCATACAGCCCTCGGCGTGCGGGGTTTCAGGCTTTAGGCGCAGGGCTTCTCAACCCTCGCAAGAAAAGCCTCGCGAGACCCTGAACCCCTGAACCCCTGAACCCAAAGCCCCTATCCCTCTCAACCTGCTCTCAACCCCTGGAGGACTTCAACCTCTCAACCTCTTAAAACCTTAGCCTCCAAACGCCAAACTGCCGGACGCCGCCCACAAAAAACGCCCCCTAAGCCTACAAACCTAAAAAAAGCGCCGCAGCAATTTCATCTCAAGCCCCCCATATCTGGCCTGCAGGGCCGCGTGGCCCCATCCAGCTCCAAGCCCACCGGCAGAGCCAGGCCAAGGGTCTGCAGGGGGGGTTTCGGGGCACTGGGGTTTCGAGGGGTTGTCGGACCGACGGCCAGAGGCGAAAAGAAAAAATGCGAGAATAAATGAATGCCAAAAATTCTTTAATTGAACCCCTCTACAGCATACTTGAACCGCAGAGCATGCGTCCAGCAACCCCCCACACCCCAGCCGAAGCCTCGGCAAGGTGGGCGAACTGGCTGAAGTTGACGAAGCCGGTGCAGGGACCACCGGCCTGTGACCAGGCCTCCTTCCAGGGGCTTCGGGTTCGGGCTCGGGATTCCGGCGGGGCTCGCTTAGGACAACTCGGAGGTCAAAGGCTGCTGTGGGGTCGGAGGTTGCTTTTTGTGTGTCGTCCGGGGGATTCCTTGTCTTCTTGCGACCCGGGCTAGAGGCTCTTAGGATTTAGGATTCCGCGCCCTGAACCGCGCCCTTACTTGTCCTAAGCCCGAATCGTAAACCACAGGCCCAAAGGGCCGCTAAAGCCCTGTCCTGAGCTTCCATGGGCAGGTCAGACTTCAGTAGCCTGTGGCAGCTTTCCAGCGCTTGGAGAAATTCCTGGCAAGGAAAAGCAGGAGATGTCCAGGGCTGGAGAGAAGTTCGAGGATCTCCTTGAACACCCTGAAGGTCCACAGACACAGGCTTTCCCACCCGAGCCAAACCTCCCAGAGTCCCTAAAACCCCTCTACCTGAGCCCCTGCGCACCTCCTTGTCCAAGTGTCCAGACTCCTCCCGGTCGTGGTACTGAAAGAGCCTGTCTACGACGTTGCAGACAAGCTCTTGTGTGGGACCGAGCAGCGATGGGTCTCTACGATCTTCTGATCGTTCTGCAGGTGAATGTTTGATAGCTGTCTCTTTTGTATCGGGTGGATTTTGAGTGGGCCAGATTGATCTTTTGTATCATTGAGTCGAAGATGAAGGGATGGAACTGCTTTATTCCTTATAAAGTCGGTCAAAAGTCTGAGAGAGGAAAAGACTCAAAGAAGCAACCGGAGGGAAAATGGGTTCACCGGGCCCGGCCCAGAATGGACAAACAAAAGTCCCGAAGTACCAACCCAGCCCAGCTAGGGCAAAGAATTGGTCCCCAGAGGCTTGCCCCACCCATCCCCACCAACCTGCTGGCAAAACATGGCCCGAAAACATGACAAAAGTCCGCCCATCATGGAATTAGCTCCAAACCAGCTACGGTTGTCAGTCGTCTTCACCACAGCTGGGAGAGGGTTGGAAGGCTCTGCTTCTTGCCGAATTCTGTTTAGAGCCTAGACCTCACTCCATGACCAACCCTGAATTCATGTGAACTCCTGATGCCTTGCAAAAGGGAGGCATTTAGACCAATCCCTGACGCTAGTCTGCCCAGGCCCAATGTACAGGTCGCCGGGGTGCTGCCACAGGTTCTGGAACTCGGGGTACTGACCATTGCCTCGGGCAAAGGTCGACGAGGGCCCGTTTTCGAGCCCTGGGACTCAGGAAGGTGGCGGTGGTTTAGGGCTTTGGGGGCTGCATGTGGCTCAGGAGGATTCGCTTGGATGTGGTGGGAGTGCTCAGGGTGTGGTGGTGGGGGGGAGGGTTGGGTGTAGTTGTGTTGGGAGGGTTGTTGAAAGGGCTTTTCCGGTCCTAGCACCCTCAACCGTAGGTTTAGGGTTTCCAAACCGCTTTGGCGACTGAGGGCTTCGAGGGTATAGCTTCTGTTGCCTCAGCACTTCACGCGCTACGCAGGTGCAGGGCCTGAGGAGTTGGATTGATTCAGGCGATTTCTGTATTGCCAAGCAGTCCTACGTACCCTAGGACCTCGCGCGAGTAGTGCTCCGAGCTGCTGAAGGAAACCTGCCCGATGCGGTAGTGCCGATCCTGTGAGCAAATGGTTCAACAACAAAGTTCCCAGAGAACCGAAGAGAAATACTGGACACTTCTACTGTAATCCTCAACGTGATACGATGCAGGCCTGGGGAGGGAGATTCACAATGAGGGTTGAGTCAGAAGCCCCCCGCTTTCTCGCGTGGAGGAGGAAGTGTTGCAGCTCTTGCGGCATTGCGATGACTCCAAGAAGTGCCAGACTCGAGACCCCAAACCAAAGCTCCAACACTGTGGCCCCCCCAGTACCCCACCCCCAATACCCCCCCCCCCTATACAGAGGATCGCACAAGCGCACGAAAGCCTCAGTCACTCGATTCATCCCCTCATGGATCCGGATCTTGGCCAAGTTTCCCCAGGGTGCACAAACTGCTGCAAGTGCCAGGCGCTCTTTTGGTAGCAACAGGCACCATACTTGCCTCGAAGGTTGAGGGCTTGGAGAGAAAGATTTCGGATTCAGTTGAGGTTTAGAAGCCAGGGTTTCGGGGCTTTGTCTCAAGAACTGTGATCTGAAATCCGAAAGCTCTGCAGCGGCTCTTCCGCGCCTTCCTATAGCAAGCAGGTCGCTTTTCACTGAAGGTCGTCTGAGGGATCGATCACATGATAGACGGTTGGGGATGCTTACAGTCTTACATCTCGTCCACCCGGCACCCTAAACCCTATCCCCAACAACGTGCACGGCACTCTGACATGAGTGGGGCAATGAGAAGACTGGACGCCTTCGGAAGACTCTATGTGCCCATATATGTATATGTGCATATTCGTATGTACATATATATATATATAGGCTTATCTAGGGTCTATAACGGAACCACGGCATCGAAACTTGCATGGGCATCCATCTTTAACTTTGCAGACATCACCCAGCAAAACTCACAGATCCCGCCGGCCCGGGAAAAAAAAAGTTCAACGAACAGGTTCGCCCAAGAGACTTCACAAGAAACCGTTTCCACAGGCGAGCTATTTCGAAGAAGAACCTTGCGAATGCTTCAGCCTCGAGCTCAAACATGAAAGGGCCAAGCAGGGCCTCAAAAAAACTTGGATTTCAGGCGTTGCGCAACTTGTCTCAGGGCCAGGCCAGTCGTGTAAACTGCTGAAATTTGCGGGTTGTCTTCTAGTTTCCCAACATGTGGGGCACCGACTCACCAAAGCATATTGAACTCGGGCAGGTGCCCCGCAAGCGCGATGGACAAGCGCGATGGAACGTACTTTGTCTGTTTTGTCGCTCCTTTTCGTGTTGGTGTTCTCAGATATTCTGTGAGGGCCAGCGTTTTCATTCTCATGTGTGGCGACTCCTCTTCAAGAGTTTTCACGCAAAAGCCTGCCAAAGCAGAGACAGACGGGGTACCGGGGGGGGGGGGGGGGGGGGGGGTGGCAGGAAGCAACCTAAACTCAGTAGAAGATGCAGCTTACTGTTCTGTTCACTTCCTGCGAGCTCGTCTTCATGGCTACCTGGTCTCCCTGGGCAGTGTACTGTATAGTGTCGTTGGGAAAAGCCAATTTTAAAAAGCATTGCTGCGCGTACGGCTTTAGATTTCTTTTTGGGCTTTACAACTCAACTTGTGAGAACAGGCTGTTGCGAGTGCACCCCAAGCCATGACAAGGACCTGCCATTATACTTGAAGCACGAAGGGAAGTATAACAGCATAACCTGGCAAGCCGAGAAGCAAAGCCGACAAATCCATGCATCCGAAGTCTTCCTTCCCAAACTTTAAGTCGCGGGCGGAACGCACATTTTGCCACAAAAAACAAAAAGTGAACCCCGCTCGGTAGACTTCTTGGGGCTGAATTGTGAACCCTCTGCCAAGTCACAAGCTGGGGTCACGATGGGCTTGGGCGGGACAAGGCTTGCGCTGCTGCTGGGCCTGCGAAGGTCTCTGCGCTTAGCTTTGTTTGTTTCTCAGGGTTCTTCGTACGCCAACAAGGAAACCAAAACCCCTAAACTCGAAGCAATGGAGGACTCGGGGTATAGGGTTTTAGGGGGGCCGTGTCTTCCGATTCCAGCTGTTCGCTTTTTTGAGGTTGTAGAGCTTCTAGGACTTCTAGCCTTTTGGAGGGCAAGGAGCTTTTTGGTTTGGGGTTTAGCTTCAGGGCTTGGGGTGCAACATTTGAGGGCCTGCAAAAAGCGGTGGGAAGTCTGTGACACTCTGAAGCCAGGGCTTTGTCACTTTTATAGCCTAAGGTTTAACGTTTAAGAGGCTTAAGATCTGGCGAGTTAAGGAGCTTGGATCTACAGAGCTTGAGATTGCGGCGCCCGGGCCTTGAGCCCCCGAGCTCCTGCATTATCCCGCACCCCCCAAAGGGCCTAAAGCCCCGTGTTCACTTCTCAAGCTCACAGCTCCAAAACCCTAACTCCTAAGCCCCCGAGGCCATACACTTATGAAAAACTAGCACTGTGCAGGCTCCTGGTAGCCGGCGATCGGGTGCTCGGCGTCGCGACCGCAGCGCTGTAGCAGGAGCCGCTGGTCAGGAGTGTCCTGGCAACACCAACTCTGCAGGTGCTTTCATTGGACTTGCAATCAACGCTACAACCTGAAAACTCAAATGAGGCTGCCTTAGGTGTTTGGGTTTTTTTTTTTTTTTGGGGGGGGGGGGGGGGGGGCTCAGGGTTCAGAGTCTAGGTGCGCTTGCTTGAACTGGGGGTGTAGAGCTCAAGGCATTGCAGAGGGTTTGGACTAGGATGACACAGGCATATGTTGGCCCACGTTGCCCCTTCTCACTGAACCCTAAACTCCTCAACCCACAACCCGCAAGCCAAGTGAAAAATCTGACACCCTAAACCCTAAACCCTAAACCCTAAACCATCGATCCATCAGGCTGTCCTGGGAGCCTCGCGGCTCATCCACAGTGCCCAGCACCTGAGAATTGCCATGATGCAGAGGAAGTGTGGGGTTTACGATAACACGGGGTACCGGTACCTTAATGGGGTACCTTTTTGATAAGGGGATCCTACTATTTGGGGTCTATACCTTCGTAAACTCCCGTATGTCTCTGGGACTCTGGAACTGAGTGCAGGGCTTGGAAGCTTAAAGATGTAGGCTCTTGGGGATTTCTGGTGGACCGTTCTTCGGCGATGAACCCTCTTTGTCCCAACGGTGTGGTTCAGGGCTCTGTGCTCGGGGCTTTCCCCCACTGCGGCGAATGGGCGAATCAGGACAATTCACCCCAACGCCTCGGATCCGAAGCCGTGCACCTTGGCACGTAAGCCCTGAACCCCAAGCACTAACTCTAAACCTCTAAACTGCCAGGATTCTGAGTTCAACCCCCAAAGCCCCAAATCCCTGGACCCTGAAAGCCTTCCTGCCACACTGTCGAGCGTCGTATCGCAAAGGTGGAAACCACATAGTTTGCAGCTGTGGCGGCTCGTGCCCTCAGTGACGCCATACAATGCTTCAGCTCCAGCTCAGGGCAGTTCAGGGTCTTCCTTTACCCACAGCCCGGCTCAACACACAACCTCGGTAACACGGAAAACCATTCCTGCGACGTAGGCTTGGGCTTCTGAAGGCCTCTAAACAACGCGAAGTGCAGAGATTTCCTGTGGCACAACCGTTTGGCGTTTCTGGGTACAGATTACACACTGGCGTTGACAGCAAATTCCGAATATTCCCCCCAGCCCTGCCGGAGTTTAAATTTATCTCAGCTCGCGGCGGTCTTCAAGTGCCCGTTGCAGCGGACACAATGTTTCAAGTTGAAGCCAAACAAGCCTCCAGTCACCACCTCAGCTGTCAACCATGGATCAGTTCAGAACGATGCTGGCGACCAACCAGACCCAAGCTCAGAGGAAAGACGCAGATAAAGACTCTTTACAAGTCCCTGGAAACACCGCATCAGCCCCGCGGCATGGGAAGAGGAGCACATGAGTTCAAGCTGGATGGTAGCAGCCGAGTAAAATTTCACGGGCAAGCAGGAGCTGGAGAAAGACGGCGAGAAAAAGGCCCGTAGCAGTGTCCTCCTTAACTCCCGCAAGACGCAATCTGCACTAGAAACTTCGGGGCTTCGGGGATTTGGGATTACTATTTTGGGGTCAGGGCTTCGAGGTTGAGCAGTCTAGTCAAGAGATGGGATCATCGAACAAGACCAGCCTTACGGCTTCAGCGCACAGGGGCCAGAGCTGAGCACATGGGTTGGGAGTTTCAATTCGGGTTTTAGGATTTGGGTGTCAGCGTTTAGGGGTTGTCAACCCCCTGCCTTGTTGATGAGCAGGTGGCCGTCTGGGCAAACATTGAGCACGACCCTTCCGGCCGTGCTGCCTTCCGAATGCCAAACAGCCTCAACCCCAACTCAAACCCCCCTACCCCCTAGTACTAAATACCCCCCCACAAATACTATCATATAACTATAATGGGTTAAGTGGGCTTGGCTTCGGACTGAGGCTTCCCCAAACTGAAAGGCCCCTACAGCCCGGAAGCCCGAAAGTCCACTTTGACACAAGCGGCTTGAGCGGCTGGGTTGAAAATGAGTTGTTACTGACCAAAAAGGGAAGACCAAGTTCTATTTACCTTTAAACCGTATCTTTTCCATGTGCAGTGAGCTGTTCTGACCACTAAGCCTAGTCAGCCTGGCGTTTAGGGACGGAGGCAGAAGTACCAATTGAAAAGCTGCACACGAGTAGGGGTCGGTTTCAAGTGTCTCTCGGCAACTTCCGCCGCGCATGATTCGCTACTCTATGGTTGCAGAAACGTTTGGACAGCCATCTAAATATCAAAATGAGCGACTGAGTGAATGACTACGGCAGGGTTGATTCTCCAGGTGTCTTTTACTGCCATTGTAGCTGGCCACTCTCTCCGGACTCGGCATATCCGACCTGGGCAATCGCCTGTTGCCATGTCTTTTGCAAGACGGGAGGCATTCAGAACTGCAACCACCCAATCCCTCAATCTCCAATCCTTCCCTGAAGAAGGCCAGTGGGGTTTAGGACTCACAGGTTTAGGTTCTGAGGGTTTTGGCTTCTAGTTCGGTTTAGGGCGTACAGTCGAGCCCCCAAAATCTCCTAAATCCCAGGCACCGATTTTCAGGTCTCTCCACAAGCGCACCTGTTCCCGTTCCCGGGAAGCCCCCGCTGGACGCTGGCGGCGATGGTGCCACCGTCCTCGTTTAGACCCCCAGTTCACGCTGTGCACTTTGGTTATAAGCCTATAAAACCTAGAAATGCCTATTTACAGACAGAGAGAGAGAGAG